TCGAATTAAGGACCAAAAACCCTGCGCAGAGAGAGGGTGAGAAGGTGTGGTGTGAAAGCGCCGTGTGCATGAATGTTGGTTAGTCGAGACTTACTACACTCTACTGCAATGCCACCCCTACCGTCGTGAGACGGGGAGTACCAGTAATAAACAAACGGTGTGTGGTATCTATCCTTTATGAGATCCGTACGCGTCAACATCACAAAATATCAGTGCAAGTGAATCAGTCCCTCCCGTACTAGCCCAAAACAGGGTGTACCGATGAATGTCGAGTTAATCGTGCTGTGACATCTGTGTTAATCTTCCTTGGTGTCTGATTTTGTCGTTACATGTCATGCTTAGTCTCTAATTGTACTAAATCTTATATAGATATATATAAAAAAAAAATTTAACTGCAAAAAAACATTAGTATAAACATGTATGAAAGACGACGGGGATTACTGTACAGCGTGACGCGTATGTGTATCTGTGGTATGTGTTTGTGTAATGTGTTTGTGTTTCTGTGTGTGTGTGTGTGTGTGTGTGTGGTGTGTGTGTGTGTTGTTTGTGTGGCTGGACGTACATTGCAATTGTCTCCTCTTGTCGATTTTGTTTCATCCCTATAAGAAGAAGAAGTAAAACCAACAAACAGACTGACAACAAAACAAAAAAAGACTTTCGCTGGAACCCAGGGTGACTTTACGTTTCAATAACAATAATACTAGACATAGTCGCCACAGTGTAAAGTAGTCGCAAATCTCCTTAGCTACGGCGTCCCGACGTCGCGTCCACCACCACTCCTCCCATCTATTGCAAAATTTCTCGCCGTCTCGCGGTGAGCGGAGCGAGAGTAGTACGACCCGTGTCGCACCCCAAAGATGCCATTTGTCTCGTCGCAGAAGACGGCGAAGTAGTAGTGTGAAAGAATCGTTCACCAATTGTTCCACCACTCGCCCCCGCCCCGAGACAATCAGTACGGAACTAGTAGCGAGACAAGTAGCGTATAACCAAAGAAATTAGACGGACCTAAGTTATTAGAACAAATTTCAAATTAGGATTATATTTACTGTGTAATAGTGACCCCAAAGTGTCCTAAGTGACGTACTAATTGAACGACACTAAAATACGAGAAAAATGATTTGTGAAGTTAAATTTCCCTGTAGAACCGAAAGATGAAGCAACATAAATAGTATCGAAATCGTTAATATAAAAACGTATTTTACTCAAATTACTCGGTTAAAAAATAATAATAAATGTTATAATATATAAAAAAGACATAATAAAAAAAGAATAAAAACCTGTAAAATTATGAAATTCTATGTAAAATCGACTCTATAATTGAAAAAAACAAATGGAAGTCATTATGTTTACTACGAAACCAAACCGACATAAATTTACTGTATCGGAGTCCAGAGAAGTGTCTGTTAACTAGATGGATTGGTTTGAACGTATGTAAAGTTCATACAACTAGGCTTCCTGGTGGTGGAGGGTACATTATAAACAGACAAAAGATCAAAACTGAGTGCCACTTTTTGTCCTTCCGTACACAAACACTCTTTTGTCTTTGGAATGGGTGTCAAGTTTATTTGGGCTGTGTGTGAGGTCCATTTTAACTAAGTGTACAAAAAATAAGTCACGTGTAATATTTTTTTCAACTGAGTATTGAAATTCAGTCCAAAAAGTGTTAATGTTTTTTTTCCTGATATCTATAAATGTTTCATATGTTTTGTTTCATTTATCTAAAAGAGAAATGACATACATGTTATTGTGTGCAACCGTTTCGTTTGTAAATAAAAAGATACAAGGATATTGGTGTTTTACTTAAGGGGGTCTTCGGGTGGGGGACAACAGCCCTCTAAAGACTATTGTCCTACATAGGCGATAATAATTGCGCTCTTGTAACTTGAAAGAGGTTGTTCCTCTGTGAAAAGAGGTATTAATTCATGTATTTACTCTAAAACGTCGGGACTCTTCCGCAGTTTGTTTGCAGGCGGCAGCCCAAAATAACGAACTCAGTAAGTAGTACGCAACTTCCCTGGAGGTTTCGGTCATACTGCGCCAAGTCCCGGACGAGGCCGTTTTTTCTCGGAGACATAGGTAGCCCCCTTACTGGCTGTTTTCTGAGCTGTCCGTCTGATGTAACCAAACCGACGTCTAAGACACCCCAACTCGTTTCAACCCGCTGTCTTCTCGTTCGACCTTTGGCCTGCCCATACTCCTGCCCTTTCTTCTCTCCAACAAGTATCGGAACAAAAGAGCTGTCACTCAGGTAACTACTACTCCCTTCTGACAACTTACGTCATGGTTTCGACCGCGTCTTCCTATTACTTTTACTTACCGCGGCCCAGGTCCCCTGGTGGTAACTCCCTAACGGAATTTGTGTCAAAACCTTGTACCTTTTCGGGGTAGGTTTTATGTACGCACACTACCTTTCTCCGTCACCTACTTACTTCACCCCGTCTGAATATTAACTGCGTCACTGTAACAAAGTTAAATTTTCCTGGTTTCGCCCTGTCCTACACACTCCCATTCCGGTCAAAAATGGTTTAACGCAGTTATAGTACTACCCTTCGGTCTTTCTGTTTTTTTCTTTTTCTTTTGGTGCTGCCCCTTGGCTTCTTTTTTTTGCTTTTTGTAACAGTAAAAAGTTTCATTTTTACGGGTTTTTTTCGGGTCTATAAACGGTCACGACTAACTACCGAAACCGTCCGCGAGGGTTGTGACACATACTGGTTATAATCCCCCTTAAAGGTCAGTAAACGTTGTTTCGGTGGGCTTTACTTAAGTACAAAGTCGACACTCGTTACATAGCTACTGGTAGGGGACATAAATAGTATTTAGACGGAAAAAGTAAAGGAAAAAAGTTCTCCTGTTTGTTTGGTGACTACTTTTCCTTTGCCGCATCTGCTCTTCTACGAGACTGAATTATGACCGGCACAAAATCACAGAATGTTCTATTTACATTACGATCAAACGGAGGAGGAGGAATTCCGTATATTTGACAGAAAGAGGGTTATACCTGAAGACAACGTAAGCCCGAATAAAGACAAGGCGTACTCAAAATTATGGTTTTTTGAGGCCCTGTCTCACGTTTTGTCCTTTTCATTTGGTCAGCTTGTGCTTCGTGTCGAGTCTAAGTCCTCGGTCAACAATCAGCTCACGCAAAGAGATTCTCAGGGCACACAGTACAAAACCTGTGGGACCCCCCATTTAGCGAAACTATCAACCCCTCCCGCATGTCAAGGGTCTTCTGGCACCCAGAGGTCCAGGAAGGTCGGATACCCTTCTTGTGGCAGACAAAAATGATCACGACGTGAGGTCCTTCCCTGTAGGGCTAGAAGAAAGTTCGACGGGCAGGAAGCAGTCAGTCTGTCCAGCCCGTGTCGTCGGAGTCTTAGCGGGCGGAGTATAGGACGAGCAAGTCGCACATCTACTACCTCCAAGTCAAAAGAATCAACCCATTACAAAATTGTACCAGACAAAATGAGAAGATAACACTATACATCAAAAGGCGGACACTATTCTCACTAAAGTAAACGAGATACCAAAACAGAAGACAGCGCGTCTCTTCAGAGAAACACAAACCCCCTCCTGCTTCTCGCCGTCGGTTGTCTACTACTTCTGACGGTCTTGCTACCACTAGCCAGAAGTCCTCGTCGGTAAAACAGAAGACCCTTGAAAGCCATCTCCGAAAAGCACGCCACGAGACTCCGCTCTAAGAGACGACGCCAACGGAAGGCTACGCCCTTCTATGCTGCATTTCAGTGGTAGCTACTCACTTACCCGCCTCTCGGACTAAGGCACATGAATACCATACCAATAGTCCTCTAGCGCCCTCTAGTGTTCAACTCATCCCCATCTAACACTATAAAACATGATATATCCATTTCTACTGATCATCGTTGAGGTTTACTAGAATAGATTTACACAAACTCACATTGGTTTCTCATACAGCATCTCTGTATTGTATGTGTATTCACTCTCTGTCCTAAACGCCTTGTTGGAGCTCCTGCCCCCCCCCCTATGAGCCCACTGTGCTCTGATTGGTCAGCTCGCCCACTCTGTTCTGATGAGTCCACCACGGTTACAGCGGAACATCAGTGAGTATGTGTTACAATGGCGTTTCTTAGCAACCAGAAAACAACACCAGTAATGACAAACAGATGAGAATGCTGCGTGGGGTCTGAGGCCCGCTACTCCACCCTTTGAGGCTCGAGGAGCGGACAGTGTGAGCTGGATTACTGGTGTCGTTTCCTGGTTGCTGCGTGGGGTCTGCGAGACAGCGCGGAACTAAGCCTGAGCACACACACACACTCACAGCCTGAGAAAAGAGAAGGCTGAGTGAGTGTGTGTGTGAGGAGCTCCACGGACTGGTCCATTTGGTCATCGTTACGTCACCGTGACCAGGAAGTCACAGTGACTTCATTTCCTCGCTCCTCAGGCTCGGTATCACCGGAAGTTGATTTGTCTGCGCCATCTTGAGTACCGTCCCAGTGGCCTCATTTGTGACAGAGGACCGAGGAGCGATAACGGAGGAGCGATAATCGAGGAACTACCAGACCATCCTCGTGAAATCCTCAGACACTCGCCCCGCCCCCTTACTGTGTATCGCTCACTGATTGGACGATGCAGCGCATGCACTGATCTGGCTGCTGACAGACATCAGCTGTGCGGCGTCATCACAAACGGACGTCGCTTCACGTGACGCTCCGGAGGAAACAACGTCCCATTGCTCTTAAAACGAATTTCCCTGCTTCTCGTGGTTTCCTCGCGTCTCTCCATGCTTCCCTGGTGGGAGGGACGAAACGCAGGGAAACGACGCAAGGAATCCATTTAACCGAAGTGAGATGTAGCTAGAGACAGGTCTTTTCTGTGTTAGAGTTTTACTCCCTACAGGGTGCACTTTGAGGGTTTGTGACTCGCACACCGTTTACATATATAACCGGGTAATAACCAGAAAAGCACGACATGGGCTCTTTAAATACAATTTAAAGAATAGCTACTGATTTGAAAGGTGTGAGATATTTAATTTTCATGAAACAGTGTAAACGTAGTAAAGAACATGAGAACAACAGACAAACAACACAGATAAAGAGCACACAGTTCCACTCAGCTATCACTCGGTGCTGACGAAGCTCCACAGCTGGTCGCTCACGTCGCACGGAGATAACGAACACTTGTCCATGTTGATCGGAGTCGCCAGGTCGGGTCCGTAGTGAACTGCAAGAGGAGAAAACAAGAACGGGCACACAAAATAAAGCCAACAAAATGTCACTCAAGTTCCCGCCAATCACAATATCTCTTAAAGAAGGCAATATTCAAAATGGCATACGCAGATCAAGGTTTCAAGGCTTTTCTAAATGTACTATGAACTGTGTATAAATATACATCCTGATGGGGGGGCGTCACTTTATCAGGGATTCATTAGGACAAGAGGAAGCTGACCGTACCTCCTTTTAAGACGTTGGGGGGCGTTTCGTACTCCCACTTGATCTTCGTTATCAGGTAGTACAACTGGGACACAAATCTGTAGAGGGACATGAAATGAAAATACTTTATGTAACTTATCGTGGAATTCCTTTTGTGTATAAAATATCAGAAACTACGTCTAAAAAAAGGCAAAGAGAAAGTCTTCAAACGTCTTGTTATGTTCCACCGACAAATGAATAAGAGAGCACCACAGACTGCAGATGTTCCACCAGTACATCTTTGTATGTATGTACAGTACGGCTTTAAAGTAACCCGTACTGTACATACAACCTGCATTGTTTTTACAAAGATCTCCACATTTACATGTAAAAATATCTTACAATCCGAACCCAAATATGTATATCTAAACAGTAACTACATCATTTTATTTTGCTTTTACTCCAGAATTTCAAGCTAAACCCGTGTGTTGTGTTCGAAAGCTGTTACCGGTCATGGTGTTCGCGGGTCAATTTCGACCCATGATTTATCTCAGTCCAAAGTAATGACTATCATCCAATATTGTTTAAACTACATCATAACTAAGTCCTGTCTAAAGTCAAAGATGAATCTTGATTGGGCTAAATGTGACCCCGAGTGACCCACAACATGCTGCAGGGTCTCCCCAGACCCCAACACCAAATTATACACTTTTTTTTTTAATGAGAACTTCAGACTTGGCAAAAATTGTCAAAATCAGTTTGGTAGTGTTTATAAAGCTGTTGTGGAGGATATCATGAAGCCTCGTTCTGATACAAAAAACTAGAGCATAGTTATTATATCATTTTAACTTGAAACGGGTCACCCGAACACAACATGAGGGTTAAACAAGTTTGGATTAATGTTTTTAAAGTGTGTGGCTATTCCCAATCATTCTGCTATAATGCAAATAATCGTTAGATAAACATAAATTATAATTAGAAATAAAAACATGGATATGAAATAGTTTCATTGTAGCTCAAATTGGCACTAAAATATATATTTGATCTTTGAGAAATATTGCACTAGTCGCTATTGCAAATTCAATAAAATATACACAATACACTTTACAGCTGAATCCGTGGGACTCACACAGCTGAAGGGATGATCTCAGTGGTGTCTTCGTCCACTTCACTGCGGAGAGCCTCCAGCTCGTGTTCATCGTTTCTCAGACTCTCCAACTCTCTCTGCAGAAATCTGGAGGAAAGTTAAGGACTCTAACAAAGACAGGATTACAAAGGACACTGAAAACTGTTCTGGCTCACAGTATTAAAAAAGGAAAAAAAAGAACAACAAGGAACAAGATGTTGTGTTGGGAAAATAGTGAATGTCCTCTTCCAATATGAGAGTAACATGCTAACGAAGGTATCCCAACTGTAGCTGTGTACATTAGGGCTGCACGATATATCGTGTCAATAATCGCGATATGCGCATTCACATCGCAGGACGTGACGATTTAAAACAAAACAAAATCCTTTATCTATTTATTTTGTATTCATTTTTTTAGGACTTGCGATATTAAATAGGCAAATTAGCTCAAACACGTCATGTTACAATTATTTTGCTGCTTGCTACAAAAGGAAAACTTGCGCGGCTCTCATGTCAGGGGTACTTGAGTGAGTGACAGCAAACCACCAATCACAATCAAATCTCCAAAGCAAACGGACCCCGTGATTAAAGGTAAAAACACTGAATGAAGTAGTTTCATGTGTTTCTCCAGGGCAGTTCGGCGCTGCTAACCGAGCTAGCTCAGCTTGTTGCTCTGTAGGGGTGTATCGGTTCACAGACATTTCGGTTCGGTACGTACCTCGGTTTTTAGGTCACGGTTCGGTTCGTTTTCGGTACAGCAGAAAAAATGATCACAAAACATAAAATATATTTTTTTGTATTATTATCAAACTGTGAATAATGTATTCACTCAAATACAAAATATAATAAAATAAACATTAAGGTGCAGCATTTGGATGAACTGAAATAATCTGTATTTGAACTGTACTGTACTAGTACCTAAGCAGCCAGTTTGACATTATGACTTGCTTGTCATTGTATTTTCATGTTTTTTTAAAGAAAGATGAACTTGTCCACATTGCTTGCCGAAAGGGCAGATCTGCTGGCACTAACAATGTCTCCTGCTGTGGAGAACACCCTCTCTAGGGACAGAGGTAGCAGATACAGCCAGGTAGCGCTTTGCTAACATGGCAACATAAGGATATTTGGCGTTTGAAAGAACCTTCCGTATAGAGTCCACGGACGAGCGTCGCAAGTCTCATTAAACGAGTGTAAACCAAGTTGCGCAGTATCTCCTCGTTCAATAAAGTGAACACCAGACTCTCAGTATATACCAGTTGTCCCTACGCAAGTCTAAATCAGTCATAACTCACTAGACAGGTTTGCCGCTTGCGTCTATTTCAACTGAAAATCAGTAACTTCGAGGGCGAAAACACTAGTGGAAAACCCAATCGCGTCAATGCATGTACCAACTGCTGTTCTATACCAAAAACAAAAAAAAAACTTTGGTTTCGACAAACAGCCGTAACAAGTTGAATTTAACCCAATTGCCCGACCAGTTATGTAGTTGAAAGTGTGAGTAAACTTTTCCGTAGTGAAGGCTTGCACTTAATAGGTTGAAACCATGGTTTCCTTTTTACTGACTTTCACGTTTGGGTTGAGGGCGATTCGTAAATTCGGAGGTGGTGAGCGTTTT